TCTATGGTGCATCAGTATCCCAAGACACATGAGAAGGGACCTTGAGTCTTCAGGGTCAAGAAAGAATTTCTAGAGTTGTATAGTGTTTATACACAGGGCAGCCGTAATCCATGTGCCCAAATAACAGCCTCTGGTGGCCTAGTGGGTAAGGAGTTGAGGTGCCAACCCTAAGACAAGCAGTTTAAATTCACCAGCTGCTTCTTGGGAGAAAGTTGGGTAATACCCTCCTATGTGATTTATAGACTCAAAAAACCCTCTGAAGAAGGGTCAACCACAAGTCCAACTGATGGCAATGAGTTTGAGTTTGACTTTTAAGAACAGCTTAGGGAGGCACGTGGGCCCCAGGCCGGCAGTTCATGTTTGGAGGCTGCTGCACCATGTCCTCCCTCGTGGCGCTGGCCCTGTTGGGGCTGTTCTCTCTGCCCAGCCGGGATGCCACCAACCGTGTTCCAAAGGTTCAGGTGTACTCTCGCCATCCGGCAGAGAATGGAAAGCCAAATTTCTTGAATTGCTATGTATCTGGATTTAATTCACCCCAGATTACAATTACCTTTACAAAAAGGGCAAGAAAATCACAGAGAAAGTAGAATGGTCAGACTTGGCTTTCAGCAAAGATTGGTCTTTCTATCTCCTGGTCTACACTGAATTCACCCCCAATGATCAGGATGAATTCACTTGCCGTGTGGAGCATTCTGCTCTCAAGGAACCCAAGATAGTTAAGTTGGATCGAGACAACTAACAAGCACCATGGAGAGGCTTTGAAGACGTCTCATTTGCAATGCAATTAATTCTTAATTCTTTGTAGTTTAAAAAATATTGATGTATGGGTGTTAAACAACATAATCTCTCTTTAAAAATTGCCTTTAAGGGGCTTGGGAAGGTAATCTTACCTAGATGGACTGGGAGGAGGAAATTATCAAGTTCAGCATGAATCTTTTGGTAAGATTGAAAAGCTTTGCTTCCATTCTGCACACAAAATTGAATAATGAGACACTGAGGCTTACTCGTAATTAAACTCAAATTTGTGTGCTCTGCTTTGAAAGATTGATAGGAATATTGAAAATCTATAATCATATACTTGTCATATAATATTTCTTTTTCCAAGTACATTGGGTTAATCATAATTTTATTTTGATCTTGTTTCACTAATTAAAAGTTTGCTTTGACAAGCACTGTGGCAATTGCACAATTAAAACAGACTTTCAAAGGCGGAAAAAAAAAGAAGAACGAACTGGGGAGGAGGGTAGAGAAAATAGTGCAACAATGAATGAATGAAAACCCAAAATCTCTGTAAATGTTCATTAAAATTAATAAAATTTAATAATAAAAAAAGTTTGGTAAGCTAAAAAAAATAAAGAAAAGCTTAGGGAGCTCTTGTGGCATAACTGACTGTGAATTGCACCGTTAACCTCTGTGGTTGTTCAAACTCACCATGCAGGAGCAAAACAGTAGGTCTCCTCCTATGTGATTTACAGACCCAGAAACCCAGTGGAGGGTCAGCCATGAGTTAGTTGTGACCGGTTGGCAATGCAAAGTAGTAGTAATAACAGCCTTCCTGGGTTGAAATCCTGGCTCAAATCTTGAACAGGTTACTTAACCATATTTTCTTCATTTAGAAAGTAGAGAAGTTAATAACTACAAATAGCCTCATGAAGTTATGTTGTTGTTAGGTGCCATCAAGTCAACTATAATTCAATGAAGTTATGGTAAAGATTAACTCAAGGAAGTTATTATGGTAAAGATTAAATGAGTACACATACGGCATTAGGAATAATGATGCCACATAATACATGTTCGATAAATGTTAATGTTATGAACTGTGTTTCATCTTCCAAAAAGAAATGCTGGAGTCCTAACCCCTGTATGAGTGAATATGATTCTGTATGGAAATAGGGCTTTTCTTATTTTTTTTCTATTCTTACTGGAGTAGGGTGACTATGAAACCCAGGCTAAGATGTGTCTTATGAAAGGGAGTTCAGATTTAGAGAGATAGAGGCATCTATAAGCAGAAAAGGAACCACAAACATTGCATCAGTCAGCAGAAACTAGGAGACAGGGTCAGAGAAGGAACACAGGGTAGAACTCCTGATTGGGATTTACAGCTTGGAGAACGGAAACAGAATTTTCCTCTTCTTTTTTCTTTTTTAAATTTCCCCCCCTCTTCTTTAAAGCTATGATTTGTGGTGTTTGTTGTTGCTTTTGTGACAACAGGGGCTAATCAAGCACAGCTGCTCTTGAATATACTTGAACTCAGGACAGCCCTAGGTGTGAGAGCAAAACTGCCATCCACTGAGCTTTCTACAGCTGAATTTTCAGACAGCCTTTTTCACTGTTGTTGTTAGGTGCTAGGGAGGGAGCTCTGCTGTTTTAGTGGTAAGGAGATGTGCTGCCAAGCCTAAGGCATGCAGTTCTAATCCACCAGCTGGTCAGAGGAAGAAAAATGGGCAATCTCCTCTGCTGCCATTTACAGCCTCCAAAAACCAATAGGTTTTCAGAGGGCCAGCTATGTATGCATCAGGTAGTTGTTTTTAAATTTTTTTAATTGATATTTTAATGAAAGTTTACAGAAAACTTGGATTTCCATTCATTCCCTGTTGTACATTTTCCTCCCTACTCTCTCCCCCAGTTTGCTTTTATCTTTTAAAAAATTCCTTCATTGTTGCACAATATCAGTCAGTTTTGAGGGCACCTAACATCAACAAGTACCACTGAACAGGATTTAACTCATAGTGAGTCTGTGCACAACAGAATTAAAATGGTATCCTTTCCTGCACCATTCTCTTAATCTCTGCTGTTTGAGTCCATTGTTGCAGCTACTGTGTCAATCTATCTTGTTGAGAATCTTCCTCTTTTTGCTGACACCCTACTTTTCTCAAGCGTCTCTCAGGATTTCTGTTGATTGTGTGCCATCATGGAGTTAGATGTAGTGTTGAAAGTACCATCATGAATGCGGCAAAGGAGGACCGTGCCTCAGTCTAGGGACCTGGTCAAGCAAACAATCAAATGTATAAGCAAATGTGCAATTTATGATATATAAATATTGTGATAAGTGCTAAAAAGAAAATATATGAATGTTGGATGTGAGCAGAAACCTATGCCCTAATTTTATATACCATTAAGTCATAACAGAGTTATAGCTGACCCTCCAGTGGGTTTTCAGAGGCAGTCAATTGCACAGGAGTAGACTGCTCATAGTTCTCCCATGGAGCAGCTGGCGTATTAGAAATGTGTGCCTTTGGGTTGGCTGCACAGCTCTTTACCTCTAGGTCACCAGAATTCCCTCTGCTCCCTTGGTTAACACGTTACCGCAAATGACAGCAAATATTTCTAAGCATGGTCGTCAATTTAAAAAGTGTGTGGCAACATGTTAAATCATTGCTGCTGTGTTAGAACCAAACCACAGTGGACCCTCTAATGAGTTTTTAGAGGCTGTATGTAAATAGTATGGGAAGAGACTGCCCATCTGTCTCCCATGGAGCAGCTGATCGATTCCAACTGTTTGCCTTTGAGATGGTAGCGCAACTCCCTATGTACTCGTTCACCGAGTTTCCTGCCATTGTTTTAATGTAGGAAAATAAAGGATTAAGAAATACACACACATACACACACTGTTGTTGCATGCATTTGAGTTGGAAGTGACCCATAGCTGACCCTATAGTGGGTTTTCAGAGGCTGTAAATTGCACGGGAGAATGTCCATTCTTCTCCTGTGAAGCAGCTGGCGGATTAGAACTGAGTGCCTTTGGGATTGCAATGCGGCTTTTAACCGTAGAATAAAATTTATTTTTTATTTATTTATATTTACATATCTCTGTACGTATGATTCTAGTGAGTTGTTACTGATTTTCCATGAAACCACTCATACATGTTTTATAACATTACTTACAACTCCTGCTTTCTCCCTGTGACTATTTCCATCCTATCCCTCCCTAATTTCTGAGATTTATCCCTGCAAAGATGCTACCCTTTTGATCTTGCATGGTTGACTGGGCAAAAGAGCGAGAGTACTCCCTGGTGTTGTTCATTTTACATACCTATTATTTGGCCCAAAGTTCAGCAGTAAGGATGAGTTCTGTTCCAGGCTGAAAGGTGACTAAGGGACATGGTCAAGTGGGGAAGTGTGTTCCACGAGTCTCTATCAGTCCAGCGAGCTTAGTCATTTTTAGGACTTTTTTTCTTCTACATCTTCTCTCATTCTGTCCAGTACTCTTTACTTTGATCTCTTGAGCAGTCAGCAGCAGTCGTTGGGCGCCTCTCATTTCGTCTCATCTCACAGTCGGAGGCTGAGGTTCACCTAGTCTATTAGCACTATAATTGTTTCTATACATCTTCTATTTTCTTCCTTTTTCTTTGCTCTTTAGGGAGAGACCAACAACAACAGCTGTACCTTAAGTTTGCCACTTGCAAACTTTAATGACGCTCCAGTTGCTAGTTGGTGAATACTACTATGTAAACAAAGTAGTAAGACCTCTCTGAATAAGCAGAGATCCAAGTTAAACGCTTAATGAAAGATCCTTCCCCACTGACTTTAGACCACGCTGGTAGTGGACCATTTCCACCTACCAGTCCAGCTGCCACCACTAGAGGGAGCCGCGAATCCTCCCGAATTAGAAAGCTTAAGACACTAGCAAATTGACATGGGGAATTTAAAGTAAAACGACATCCAGAGTACAAGCAGAAAGAAAGGGTGGTGCTTCGGCCTTGGGCAATCTCGGAGGGTCACTAGGCTCCTCAAGGGGAGGACGTCCTTGGAAACACAACCACTACCACGGGTACATGCCTCTGCTGCATTAGGAATAGTCCACTTCCGGGACCTTTAAACCAGGAAGCGCTGGTTGTGTCCAATCCTGGCCTTATTTCCGCGCTCGGTTTGTGAGTCCATCCCTCGCCTGGACTCTATTGGAGCCAAGCTGACTAAAGCTACTAATCAGTGCTCTGGAAAGGCGCATGCGTCTTGGAACCAAAGCGACGAACGGGGAGTATTGACCTGAAGAACTCCTGCCTCCCCCTCCCTCGCTGTTAAGATGGCGCTGTCCAGAGTGTGCTGGGCTCGGGCAGGTCTATGGGGCTCAGCCGGCAGCCCTGCACCTTTTGTCACTCGGAGGCTGCAACCTGGTCGCTGTGGCCTGGCCTGGGGGGCCCCTCGGTGAGGGACCTGGAAGAAGAATAGCTTTTTAAAAAAAAATTTTTTTTTGACAGCTAGGCTCTTCAAGTGGCTCATTCTTGCTTGCATGCTCTGGTCCCCTAAGAAGGAGGCTTAATTCTCAGGGTCTCACGCCTTGGCATTTTTATTCTTCTGTTAAGAATTCACACTGCGGCATCCAATAGTGACTTGCCTTCTTGACTCTTTACATTCTTTGTGCCCCACATTGTGTGAACCCACCGTGTGTCCTGAGCTCAACTTTAAAGCATCGCTTTTTCGTCTCAGGTTTACCGCTGCTATATCGCTCTCATCTCTCTCTCCGGTCTTAACCTGTCACCCAAATTACCCTACATGCCTTGCATTCCTTCCAGATTCAGATCACCTCGCATCTTTTCCTGCCTAGCGTCTCACCAGGGGCATTTTCTACCTGAATCTCCTTTCTTTACATTGATCGTTTACCTCTCTTTGACCCCAAGACTTTGGCTTTCAGAAGTTTTAGGTCTTGGCATACATTCTTCAGAGACTGGTGTTCAATAATTAGGTACTGGAGGAGGTGTAAGAGGTTTCCAGACCTGGTTCCCAGATAGTCTCTCTGATCTTCTTTGTAGGTCTTCAAAGCTTCATCTCTCTCCAAAGGCAGACGTGAAGAGTTTGCTCTCTTATGTGGTGACCAAGACAAAGGCGGTTAATGAGAAATACCATCGTTTCTTGGGTCGTAATTTCCCCCGCTTCTATGTCATATACACAACTTTCATGAAAGGTAAAATCAAAACTAAAATAGAAAGCCCGTGAATCAACTCCTGAGCAATATTTATGGCTTATAATAAGTAATTTGTAGAATCTGCTTTGGGCATGAGAGAGGGAATATCTTTAGTTTCTTAAATGCTAGAATAGTGAAGTGTTACTGTTATGTGTCATTGAGTCAGAACTGACTCATGGTTTGACCTTCCAGTGGGTTTTCAGAGGCTGTAAATCACAAGGGAGATTGCTCATCTTTCCCCCTTGTAGCAACTAGTGAATTTGAACCACTTACCTTTGGGTTGCCAGTGGTTGCTTTACCACTTAGACACTAGAGCTCAGAGTAGTAAAGCAGTCTTTAGAAATTAGCACTTCTTGAGGATGATTTTAATAAGAAAGGTGTGAGGGGAACTAATGATTTCTGACAAAACCGTGGGGTGAAGAGCTCCCTTGGTTGTTAACATCTTAATTGTTAGATAAAGATGCATGGCCACACAGGCCTAATCTGTGCTATGTCAGTTGACTTCCCCCATAAGAAAATGTGCTCTACCGCTTGTCAGCAAGTATTGGTGGAAATGTTGCTGCATATACCTGGTTCCTGAGTCTCTGCCAATTACTTCTAGTTGGTGTAGTATCAGATGTCCACTTTAAAGCTAAACTGCCTGGATTAAAATGCCATCATGTAATCATTGGCTGTGTGATTGGACTAATTACTAAACCTTTCTGCCATTTGGTCTTCCTATCTGTCCAATAGTGATAAATGTTATTAGGTGCTGTGGAGTATTACTCATAGCAACCCTGGGAATAACAGTTCTGAACCCTGGCCTATCATCCTGTGATAATGATAGAACTTGCATATTGACAATATAACAGGGGCCCTGATGGCATAGTACGAAATGAGTGGTTTGCTAACTGAAAGGTCAAATCTAGCTGCTCCCAGGGAGAACAATGGACAGTTTCCTCATGTAAAGATGTACAGCCTCAGTCTCTATGGAAGGTTATGAGTTGGAATTGACTCGATGACAATGAGTTTGAGTCTTTTGTTTGATTGTTTATGGACAGTCTAAGGATCCCTAGTGATACAGTGATTAAAGTACTCAGTTGCTAGCCAAGAAGTCAGTTCAGCCCCACAAGAGTCACTCCATGGCAGAGAGAGATGTGGCACTGTGCTTCCTTAAAGATTTTTATATAGCCTTGAAAATACTACTGAGTGATTGTACCATGTCCTATAGAGTTGGAATTGATTTGATGGCACTGGGTGTTGACAAACTGGGTGATTATAAAGATTAAATAGGCTGTGTCTGTTATATTTAATAATTAAGTAGATACAAACATATACTTAAAACAAGATCTGGCCTATAGTAAATGTTCAGTAAGTGTTAATTCCTGATAATTATTATACATCTAGTGGCAGAGTGTATGGGGAGTGTGCAGCTAATCCAAAGGTGGTCCCTCTCTGGCAATTTGAATCCACCAATGGCTCCACAAGAGAAAGATGGGCAATTTACAGCCTTGGAAAACCTACTGGTGGGTCAGCTATGAGTTGGTGCCCGTTTGACAGTAATAAATTTTAGTTGAGTTATTGCTCATTACAATAAATGGTCACATATCAAACTCTGAATGTTATAATTTTTCTAGCTTCATGAACTTGTACAAATTGCTTATCCTTTTCTGTACAGTAGAAATAAGATTACCTACTTTGTCCTTATGTCTACCCCAGTGTTTGTAATTAGGATTGAATGAAATAAAAGGGTCTAAAAGAATTTTAGTTGGCTTGTCTTAAACTTTAAATTATGGGGGGAAAATATTCACAGCAGGGAAGAGAATGCCACAAAAACTGTCATGTACTGAGTGGGCCTCATATTAATTCCTGGCCACCATTTATTATTTCAGCTGTACTTCTGGTTTGGATTTTTTTTTTAGTCAATCTAGTCATTATTTTATAAACAAAATGAAAGTATAGATAAGTGTAAGTAGAATTCTATAAGCATAGACTCTATCATAGAAGATTAAAAACATATCTTAGAAATAGGATGAATTGCAGTAGTTATAAAAGTTTTCCAGGGCAGAGATGAGTTAAAGATACCTGGCCAGGGAAGACATAGAGACTTGTAAGGGACAAATGAGCAGCTTGATGGTGTGGTCCATAGAGAGTTGTACTGTTAACCCAAAGGCAGCACCTCTATCGTGGTTTGAATCCACCAGCTATTTTGGGGGAGAATGATGAGCGTTGTCATTCTGTGTGATTTATAGCATCCAACACCCCACGAGAAGGTAATTTATGAGTTAATTCCAACTCTTCAGCAATGTGGAGGGTTTTTTTCAGTTTGAATCTAGGGGTTAGGGAAACTTTGAATCTTGATTTTTAAAAAGAGAATGATTAATGAACCAGAGGAGTAAGAATATTGCCAAGCAGGTCACAGAAGCCCATCTTGGTCAGAAGAGAGATGATGTGCTGCTGGAGGGAGATTGTGAAAGAGATGGAAGTTGGCCTCCTAGGTTACCTACTCTGAAGTTTTTGTTGAGGGTTGGGGAAGGATAAGGATGTGTGCATGTGGGTAAACTTGGAATAAGAAGCAATGCTAAGACTGAAACTTGGATAATATCATATTCTCTCCTCTATTTCAATGAGGCAGGATTGCGGATGGTATGGGCTGATGCTAAAAAGGCTAGAAGAATAAAGGCAAATATGTGGAAGCACAATCTAAACTTCCATCAGCTTTCTTACCGGGAGATGGAACATTTGAGACAGGTATGGGCCAGGAGACAGAAACCTAGAAGTTCATGCTGAGATGAATAAAAGGTCTCATAATATCAAGATCTCTCTTCTTTTTTTTTTTGTCTCTTTTTCCCTCTGTTCACCACTGATCAAACTTGCTGTGAAATCAAAATCTTGAACTGAGTGAGGGCATCAGATTTTCAGAGTCGAGTTCATTCAGAATTGTAGTCTTCTACACAGCAAACTCCAGAGAGTTTCTCTAACACTTTCTGGATAAAAGGTTTGAATACCAAACTCTAGTTTGTTTCTGAACACGTGTAAGTCTAGGAGGATCTAAAGGGTAGTGGGAAAGTCGTACTTGGTGGACCCATTCTCCATACCAGGAAGAAATCGCTGAAGGATTTGGTGTTATGGTAGGCCTGGTAGTAGACCTTATTTGCAGTACTAAAGTGACCAACCAGACAACTCTGTCCTCAAGGAACTTACTATCTAAAGCAGATAGAAGTAACTTTGGGGTTTTTTCTGGGCTATAATAGAAGTTTACAGCAGAGTAGGATGAAAAGATTGTCTACTATATTAAGAATTTACCTGAGTTAAAACTACATCTGTGTTTATTTCTGCTTAGTTCCGCCGAGACGTCACCAAGTGTATTTTCCTAGGTATCATTTCCATTCCACCTTTTGCCAACTACCTGGTCTTCTTGCTCATGTGAGTATAGAGGTTCATCTCTCTAGCAACTTGAAGATATATAAGTTGTTGGGCTGTTGGTTTGGGTTTTTTTTTTTTAAATTAAATGTTATTTTGAGATGAACTTGCCCTTTCAGAAGCGAAGCAGAGGTTATCAAACTGCCTGTTCCAGTGTTCTCATTAGACTCAGAAAAGCTGCACAGTAACACTGCAGGAACTGAGATGCACAGCTGCTGTAGATGGCCTAGACTCTCCCTTTCTCTTAGCTGCCCCGTTGTGATATGAACTGAGATTATTTCTCCATCATCCCTGAAGGTATTAACACAATCCTGAGAGGCATACCAATTTGGGACAAATTTTTTCCTCAGAAAAAAATTTTATGTTCCAGTTATCTATTGCAGTTTAACTAAATAACCCTTTCACTTAAATCACATACTGAAAAACCCACACATACCAGACATCCCCATAGCTTATACTGTTTTAAAACAACCATTTTAATGTTTTTATGGGTCAGGAATTTCAACAGACCTCAAGTGGGTCATTGATTTTTTCTTTTCCATATGGTGCTGACAGAGGTCTCTCACTGGCTTGTAGCTGGTGAAGGAAGTAGTCCAAGGTTAGTCCTATGTCTGGTGCCTTGTTGAGGATGACTGGAACTGTCATCCCAGCGTGCCTCTCTGTGGCCACTTCAGGGGATGACTTCAGGGTGGTGGGACCTCTGACAGAGCACCTTTGGATTCTAGAATGATTGCTTCAGGAAACAAGGCCGAAGCTGTCTGGCCTTTTAGAACCTAGCCTTGGTGGCTGTGGCTGGGAGGTGTATTACATACAATCCCTTCTGCACTACCTTGGTGAAAGCATAAACCCTGTTCCAAAAAAGAAAATATAGACCCTACCTCTCAAAAAGAGGTATGTCAAAGACTTTGTGGTCATGTTATGAAGGCACCATTCATGCAGACAAGTAAATCTATCATCATTTTGACACTGATTGCACATTAAGGATTGTGCTACCATGTGAGGCTGTCAGCATCATATGCAGCGTCTAGCTATGTCTGCAGCTCTGTTGAAGTTTATCCAGAGCATCCCCACCACTCCTTTTCTGTGGTTGCTTCATGCCAGGCTCTTCTACCATTGCTTCCTTTCACATTGTTGCTGGAAATGGTGCATCTTTAAATTTTGAGTTGTGAGTGAGGAAATAGGACTGAAGTAGTGAAGTAGTTCCTTCTCTTCTTCCTAATGTTCATATCTACCAAATGCTTTTTTGGCTCTCTTTAAATGTAATTCTTTTTCCTTTTAGGTACCTGTTTCCTAGGCAACTACTGATCCGGCACTTCTGGACCCCAAAGCAACAAACTGACTTCTTAGATATCTATCAAGCTTTCCGGAAGCAAGCCCATCCAGAAATTCTTACTTGTTTAGAGAGAACCATCCCTATCATACCTGGTGCAGGACCCCAGTGGCAGCTGAAAGTACTTTGTAGCAAGGTATTGCTGGGTGACCTTTTCAAAAGATCAGAAATCTTACTAGATCCAGTTGCACTGAGCTAGGAAAGAGGGCTAGTCAGAGCCTTCCTAACATCTCACAATCTCTTATGTCTCCCAAGATCCGGCATGGTGCTCAGCCTGCAGTAGGTGATATCCTGGCTCTGAGAAAGTGTTTTTCTAACCGTCCTCTGGGCATGAACCATCTCCAGGCTTTGCATTTGGTAAGCACTTTGAGGCCTTCTCTTTTCCACACAGCTTTACCTTACCTTCAGGCAAAGACTTGAAGCCATAGTATATTCACTTTCTCTTTTTGTATTCTCTTACAGAAAGCTTTGAGCCGAGCCATGCTTCTCACACCTCACCTGCCTCCTTTCTTGCTGAGAAGCCGTTTGAAGAATCATACCACTGTGATTCATCAACTGGACAAAGCTTTGGCAAAGCTGGGGATTGGTGAACTGACTGCTCAGGAAGTGAAATCCGTAAGAGCTTGATTGCAAACTCAGCTCTCAGTCCTTGGGGGACTTTTGAGCTCACAGGTGGCAGGGCTTCTTGTCCTGTCATATCAAAGCTCAAGCTCTTCATCAGCTCAGTTCATTTCTATGTGTTTTTCTCCATAAACTTAACTAGGAGGAAGGATCTACCCACAGTAATTATAGTTTATATTTCTTTTCTTTGAGCCTTCAAAAACCAAGGATGCTACACTCTAGGCCTGCTGTTTATTTTAGATCATAGAGACCCTTGCCTTGTCCATGAGTACAATGAAGAGAAACTGAAACCTGCACAGATTACCATGGGGAAAGAGCATGAGGTCATAACTGACTTATTTGTGTAACTAATTTAAAAGGAGGTCTGGTTGCCCAGTGGGTAAGTGGTCAGTTATTTGAACCCAATAGTAATTTTTTTTTGGCTGAGTACCATGTACTTTATTGATGGTACATGACAAGATGGGCTCTCCAAGCCTCTCCCCTTTCTCAGGGGGACTGAGTGGAAACTGTCAAGGATGTGAGATTCTCAGTGTGTGGGAGGATCGAGTTGGGGCAAGGACTCCCCAGCAGCTGAGGAGCTCTCTCTCTTCTAGTGCTATTGCTGGGGCTGGTGGTCCAAGGGGCTCTTATTCTTTGGAGGCCCTGTGAACCATCAGGTTGATCAGCCGGTTGCTGTAGCCAAATTCATTGTCATATCAGGAAATGAGTTTGATAAAGTGGTCGTTCAGGGCAATTCCAGCCCCAGCATCAAAGGTGGAAGAGTGGGTGTCACTATTAAAGTCACAGGAAACAACCTGGTCTTCAGTGTATCCCAGGATGCCCTTGAGGGGCCGTTCTGATGCCTGCTTTACTACTTTCTTGATGTCATCATATTTGGCAGCTTTCTCCAGACGGCAGGTCAGGTCCACAACTAACAATTAGGCGTGAAGACATGGAAAGCCATGCCAGTTAAGTTTCCTATTCAGTTCAGGTATGACCTTGCTTATGGCCTTGGCAGTGCCAGTAGATGCAGTGATGATATTCTGGGCAGCTCCATGGTCATCACACCACAGCTTTCCAGAGGGGCCATCCACAGTCTTCTGGGTGGCAGTGATGGCATGGACTGTGGTCATGAGTCCCTCTACGATGCCGAAGTTGTCATGGATGACCTTGGCCAGGGGTGCACCACCTAAGCAGTTGGTGGTGCAGGAGGCATTGCTGACAATCTTGAGAGAGTTGTCATACTTTTCATGGTTCACGCCCATCACAAACATTGGGCCATCAGCAGAAGGAGCAGAGATGATTACCCATTTGGCACCACCCTTCAAGTGAGCCCCAGCCTTCTCCAAGGTTGTGAAGACACCAGTGGACTCCACAACATACTCAGCACCAGCATCACCCCACTTGATGTTGGCGGGATCTCGCTCCTGGAAGATAGTGATAACTTTCCCATTGATGACCAGCTTCCATTCTCAGCCTTGACAGTGTCATTGAACTTGCCATGGGTGGAATCATATTAGAACATATATATCATGTAGTTGAGGTCAATGAAGGGATCATTGATGGCAATAATATCCACTTTGCCAGAGTTAAAAGCAGCTCTGGTAACCAGGCATTCAATGTGGCCAAATCCGTTTACTCCGACAACCTTCACCATTGTGTCTCAGGGATGCGGCTAAGACTGCACGAGAAGAGAGGGCACTCTGGATCGATGAAGAGCAGAGAGCCTAGTCATTTCATTTTATTACTCAGTAGTTTCTAAGCTGAGAACCCTGGTGGCATAATCTGGAGGGAGTTGCTTGGTAACCCAGAGGCCATACCTCTTAGTGGTGAATCTACCAGCAAGAGTCTCAGAGGAGAAAAGATAGGCAGTCTCCTCCTGTGCCGTTTACAGCCTCAGAAACCCAGGGAAAGTTCAGCTGTGAGTCAGTTCCAACTCAACAGCAATGAGAGAGAGCCCTATAATGGGGGGGAAAGGCCTCATGAGCTGTTCCTGGAAAGATTTCAATTTCAGCCTGGGAACCTGTGGAGGCAGTTTACGTTGTCTTGTATGGAATCAACTTATTGATATACAACAACTACTTATTTAAAAGATATTTAGGATTATGTATGGCTTTTTACTTCCTTGGCATAGTCACTCTGATTATTAACGGCCATTTCTCTTCTCAATGGTATAGGCTTGTTATCTCCGTGGCCTGAATTCTACCCATCTTGCTGAAGACAAATGTAGAACATGGCTGGGAGAATGGCTGCACATTTCCTGCAGCCTAAAAGGTAAGACAAAGTCCTATGGTTTGTTCCACAGAACTCCCAATCATTGCTTTCTATTCTGAGATTATAATGAAAAGTGTTTTCATTCATTATATTGTACTATAATGAAATATGCAAGGAGCTGGAGTTAGAAAACCAAAAGAGAAGAACATGCTCAGCATTTCTCAAGCTGAAAGAGCTGATAAATAAATTCAAGTCTCAAGTTATAATACTGAAGGATTCTACGGGAAAAGTCATCAGTGATGCAAGAAGCATTAAAAGATAAAAAACACACAGTCACTGTATGTTTTCAGCTAAAGAATTAGTTGAAAATGAGCCATTTCAGGAAGCAATTGAAACTGTACCATTCTTGCCTCCAAGGAGCACTCTGGCTATTTTCTCCAAGACCTATCTGTTCTTTTGGCTGTCCATGGGATATTCAGTACTTTATTCTAGCACCACAACCCAAAGGCATCAATTCTTTTTATGTCATCCTTATTCACTGTGCAGCTCTCATATGCATAGCAGGTGATTGAAAAGACCATGACTTGTATCAGGTCACCTTGGTCTTTAAACTGACATCATTGCTCTTCAGGACTTTCGAGAAGTCCCTGACAGCAGACTTAGCAATGCAGTATGTCTCCTGATCTCCTGACTGGAGGGTGTTGATTATGGATCTAAGTAAGATGAAATCTTGGACAACTTCAGTCTTTTCTCCATCAATTATGATGTTCCAATAGTGAAGATTTTTGTTTTCTTGATATTGAGTTGTAATCCATATTGAAGGCTGTGATCATTGATCTTCTGCAGCAAGTGTTTCATTTCCTCCCATTTTTAGCAAGCAAGTTTGTGTCATCTCCATAACTAAGATTGTTGATGAGTCTTCCTCCAATCATGATGCCACTTTCTTCTTCATAAAGTCCACCCTCAAATGATTTTTTCAGCATACAAATTGAATAGGTATGGAGAGAGGACACACTATTGTTCCCTTGGTTGCTGTTGTGTTCCATTGAGTTAGAACTGATCCATAACTAACACTCCAGTGAGTTTTCAGAGGCTTAGGAGGAGATTGCCCCTCTTTATCCTACGAAGCAGCTGGTGGATCTGAACTGTCTGCCTTTGGAATGGCAGTGTAACACCTTTCCACTAAGCTGCCAGAGCTCCCTAGAGTTCAGTGCTGTTGTTGTCTTGTTCTGTTGAATCGGCCTATTGTTGACTCTCCAGTGGATTTTTGGAGGCAGTTAATCACATGAAAGGCGATTGTCATCCTTCTCCTGCAGAGCAGCTGGTGGATTTGAACCGTGTGCCTTTGAAATGGCAGTGAAGTTTCATAGCACTAGGCCACCAGAGCTCCCTAGTGTTTACTGTTGTTGTTGTTGTTATGTGCCGTTGAGTCGTTTGCAACTCATAGCGACCCTATGTACAGCAGCCCTAAACTCTGCTCTATCCTGTGCCAATCACATTGCCTCTGACACACGCATCCCGATTACCCCAGTCACTGAATCAGTCCATCTCTTAGAGGGTCTTCCCCTCCTGTGCTGTCCCTCCACTCTCCCAAGCATGATGTCCCTCTCCAAGGACCTGTCTCTCCTTACATCACGTCCAAAGTATGTCAGACGAAGCCCCAGAATCCTTGCCTCCAAGGAGTAGCCTGGTTTAACCCTCTCCGGGATGAATCTGTTTGTTTTCTTGGCAGTCCATGGTACATTCAATACTTTTCTCCAGCACCACAGCTCAAAGGCATCAATTCTCCTTCTATCCTCCTGATGTTAGAGGGATCTTAGCTGAAAGCAGGGAATACCAGAAGAATGTCTATCTGTGTTTCATTGATTATGCAAAGGTGTTTGACTGTGTGGATCATAATAAATTGTGGCTGACTCTGAGAGGAATGGGAATCCCAGAACATTTAATTGTGCTAATGCGAAACCTATACTTGGACCAAGAGGCAGTCGTCAGAAGAGAGCAGGGTAACACCGCATGGTTCAAAATTGGGAAGGGTGTACGCCAGGGATGTGTCCTATCTCCATACCTTTTCAACCTGTATGCAGAGCAGATTATCTGAGAGGCTGGGCTCTATGAGGAGAAGTGTGGCGTCAGGATTGATGGAAGATCTATTAACAATCTGCATTATGCAGATGACACAACCCTGCTTGCCGAAATTGAGGAGGACCTCATGCACTTGCTGCAAAGGGTCAAGGACTGCAGCCTTCAATATGGACTGAGGCTCAATGTCAAGAAGACAAAGATTCTCACCACTAGACCAATTGGTAGCATCAGGATGGATGGCGAAGAGATTGAGATTGTTCACAGCTTCAGTTTGCTCGGCTCCACGGTCAACACCCTTGGCACCAGCAGCCAGGAAATCAAAAAACACATCACAATGGGAAAGTCTGCTGTTAGGGACCTCTCTAAAGTACTCAAGAGCAACGGTGTCTCTCTGGAGACTAAGGTGCGCCTGATACAGGCCATGGTCTTTGCAATCACTTGTTATGCACCAGAGAGTGTTTACTAGACTATGGTAAAAAATTTGGAAGGCAGCTACCTGGCCAATTGACTGGAAGAAATACGTATTTGTTCCCATTCCAAAAAAGGTGAGCAAAGTACAGAGTACAGGAAATTATCTAACAATATAATTAATCTTATTTGCAAGTAAAATATTGCTGAAGGTTTTATAAAAATGACTAGAACAGGACATCAACAGTAACAACTGCCAGAAATTCAAGCTGGAGTTGGAAGAGACAGTGGAAAGAGGGGTATTGTTGCTGATGTCATGTGGATCTTAGGTGAAAGCACAGAATACCAGAAAGATGTTTGCTTGTGTTTTATTGACTATGCAAAACATTTGATTGTGTAGATCATAACAAATTATAGCTAACGTTGAGAAGAATGGGAATCCTAAAATATTTAATTGTGCTCATGTGAAACCTATCCATAGACCAAGAAGCAGTTGTCCAAACAGAACAAGGGGACACTGCATAGTTTAAAATCAGGAAAGATGTGTGTCAGGTTGTATCCATTGTCCATACCTATTTAATCTATATGCTGAACAAATTATTCAAGAAGTTGGACTATCTGAAGAATGTGGCATCAAGGTTGGCAGAAAATGCATCAACAACCTGAATTATGCAGATGGTTCAACCTGGCTTGTAGAGAGTGAAGACGACTTGAAGCATCTACTGCAGAAGGTCAAAGATTGTTGTTGTTGTTGTTAAGTGCCGTCGAGTCGCAAGCGGCTCATAGCGACCCTATGAAGGAGAGTCCTTGACACTTGGGTGCCTTTCATCCTCTCTCCAAGTTCATAGGGTTTCTGGAGGCAAGCTATTATGGAAGTGGACGCCACTCCTCCTTCCACAGGTCAAAGATTACAGACTTAAATATTAATTACACCTCAACATGAAGAAAATAAAAATACCACTGGAGCAATAAGCAACATGATCGAAAGAGGAAAGATTAAAGTTGTAAGCTGTCAACAATTTCATTTTACTTGGATCCACAGTCGACACTTAGAGTAGCAGACGTGTCCCAAAGTTTCAAAGTGCAAGGATGTCAGTTTAAAGACTAAGTTGCACCTGATCCAAACAATGGTATTTTCAGTTGCTTCTTTTGCATCTGAAAGTTGGAAAATGAATAAAGATGACAGAAGAATAATTAATGCCTTTGCATTGTGGTTTTGGAGAAGAGTACTGAATATTCTGTGTGCTGAAAAAAAGAGCACACATCTGTCTTGAAAGAAGTACAGCCAGAGAGCATGTTAGTGGCAGGGACAGTGAATCTGCGTCTTTCTTAGTTTGGACATATTTTCAGGAGATACATCATGCGAGGCAGGGTAGAGTGTCAGGAAAAGAGGACCTTCAGTGAGATGAATTGACACAGTGGCTAGCACAATGGGCTTGGGCATGACAGAAATCACTAGGGTGGTGCAGGACAGGGCCAGGTTCAGATCTGTTGTTCATAGGGCTGCTGTGAGTTATAGTTATAGTCGACTTGATGGCATCTACTAATAACACTCTGAGATTATTTGGAGGGTTGAGGATAAGGTAAGTACTGAACACTTGTGAGACCCTCACCTGACATGTCTAATTCAAACAGTCCCCACTCACCTGCCTACAGAGAGTAGACAGTTGCTGAAGTAGACTGCAAGATGAGAGAATAGTCAGGCCTGTAGGCCTGTGACAGTGAGCACATGCTAGTCTAAAGCAGAGCTGCTTAACTTCAGCACTATTAACTTTTTTTTTTATGTTGGGGCTGTTCATGCATTATAGAATGTTGAGCAGTAATCCTCACCTCTTAGTAGATGGCAGCAGCAGTTGTTCACCATTCCCCACTCCATGTGGTAGCCAAAAATGTCTCCAGATATTGCCAAATGGCCCCTGGTGACAGAATTGCCACTGGTTGAAAAGCATGCTGATTAAAAAAATATACTCTACTTGGTAAACGAAACAGTATGTGAGGATGGCTCAGAGGGCTCAAGATCTCTTATTTGCCACCTTTGGCTGAGTTTTCGTCTTCCAGGCCTTTGGGTCTTAGGACAGCCTTACTATCTCCTTGGACCTGAGAATAGTCCCTAGAGTACAGGTTTCTTCCAGAAGAATCCCCAGGTAACAAGGGCATGTAGTATCATTACTACCTCTGAACAGTCTCTTGCCTTTGCATGAGAATCAAGAAATTGAGAATAGCTTGTTGTAAGTATATAGTTGTAGCAAAGGAAAGCATTCATGCCGAAGCTGGAATATGGCAGAAGTTTAAGAACCAGCACCTTTTAATGCCACATCTCTCTCTGCACATGTCATCCTGCCTCCAGTGCCACACCCTTTATATTCCAAGACACTTAGAAGGTAGATTATTCACTGGCCAAACCACTAATATTGATGTTTTCAGAAGCAGAGCTGTCCCTCTTGCTGCACAATGTGGTCCTGTTTTCCACCAACTACACTGGGACAAGGAGCTGAGTGACCATGGGATGGATGGCATTATCCTGCAGTTACAGAACACAGCAGCGTGGGACCAAACAGCACTTGTCTACAGTCTATGTGCTCTGTTAGGTGCATGGGAGGCACAGAAGGTGGTGCCAGACTTTGATGTGATACCCATATGAAAGCTACATTCCCCTTACCGCAAGAGCTGAACCAAACCCTCTTCCTGGCATACCCCATGTGGGGTGTCATCCCAGCTCCTCTGCAGTTGGTAACAGCCTGTGACCTGGGCTCTTACTGTGAAGTGTAAAGTTCAGGTTCTAGGAGTAAGTTGGTCCCACGTGGGAGTTGATGTTTGACCTAGGACACATCCACTGCCTATTTTTTGTAATTTTTTCTGAGAGGGTGGGGTAGGAGAGGCAGGGTCGAGAGAAATCTCTGGCTGTGGAAACACCACTTAAATTGGAGCACTTTGTATGCATGCACTTTGATGCTCTCTTCACATGACCAAAAGTAGGTATTTAATTTTGTTCTTACTGGCAGAAGCTAACCATTCCTTTTTCAACTCCTTTGACCTTTAAAGTTAACATAAACTTAAAAAATAGTAACATATGAGGACATTTTAATGGGAAAGATAAAAGGAAGTCCAAGTGCTACTTTATCTTTTTCCAGTGTTTACAGCCTTTACTCCTATTGTCTTAATACCTGGACTAAACACAGCCCCTGGATCTTAAACTCTGCTACTTGAACTCTGTTGCAGTGATCCAACTGTATCTGGCAGTGGCCGCCTTCTCTAGAGCCATGGATCAAACCTTTAAGGTACTAATTACTGCCTGCCTGGGGAGAACAGGAGAGGTCTGCATTGAGATAATAAGATAAGCTTACATTTGTGTGTGTACACTGGTGACTTGTAGAAACTCATTGTAAATGCATGACTTTTTAAACCTAAGTAAAGACTGACTGGAACTAGCTGCTGGAAATTATTTATACACCCTTAATCATTTTGCTAAAGCCTCCTTTGACAAAACTGACATAACTTCATTAACAAGGAAACAACTGGTTGATATAGAACCTTCTGATGGGATGACAGTTATGAAGGAACTGATTTGAAGCTGGTCTTCTTGATGAACATCTTAAGATATCTTAATGGAAAATTTAATACATATGAAGTGAATGGTATCAGAAAAATGAGACCTAAGAGAAACGGCAAAGCTTCAGTAGGGCAGGAACAAGGCTGGCTTCAGTTACAGAACCCTTGATGCTCCAAAGAGAATATGGTATTTTTGCATCATAAAATGATTTTGTTAACATTAATCCCTAACTAGCCTAATTCTTTTTATATGCAAAGCTGGAGAAGCAGTCTTTAACAAGTAACTGAATTGTGGCCTGCCAAGATAAAGAATAACACACCATCCTTTTGAGTATTTTTTTAATATTACATTTAAATAGTCTCTTTAAATACAGCATTATCACAATGTAAAGGACCTAAAGGAAAAAACAAATTTTTTTTTCAGAGAACCAGACAAGCTTTGGATTCACATTGAAAATACTACCTGTGTACAGTATATGAGAAAGGAAACTGGGAAATAATAAAGAGTTGCAAAGTCATTTTTTAAAAAAATCTAGGCCTAGACCGGACAGGACTGAAGCGCTCTGCTTCTGTTATCAGAAGCTTAGCTTCCCAGCAAACTTTCAACTAGAATTCTCCTGTCCACCTCAGGTAGCACCAGAAATGAGCTGGATTAGGTTGTAGAAAAGGCCCTTTGCTTGACAAGATTAATGCTAAATGTTGATATATTTAGCATTCACAAGGTTAGTATCAGTGTGCATCAGAATTATAATGATGGGATGGACTTAAAGACTTCAGAATGATCCAATGTCTTATGAGTTGGGAATGGATTTAGGAATTATAGATTCAGACTTCTGGATTGATCTCAAAGGATCATGCCTACCTCACTGAGCAGCAACAATCTACTTTCCCAGATCAGGTGGGAACCTTCTGACGAGGGACTGAGTAGAGCCCACGATCCCCTTCTTCCAACACAAACTTTCAGAAAGATTCTTTCCTCCCTAGAGCAAACTAAGTTTTTGGTCAAGCTGAGTCTTGTATTGGAGGTACCAGGGCAAAGTGAGCTCAGTTCAGGAAGAGCATCCAGATCTTAGGTACTTGGACTCTCAGCTCAGTTTTGTGAGATTAGGGGATGGGGAGAAGGAACGACCTACATATAAAGCCAGGAAAAATCAGGAATAATTCGAGGGCAGAATAAGTCAAGAGATGTATCTGTATTCAGTACAAGGCCTTTCAGGCTCAGCATGAGATAGTACAGATGAAATGTGATACACATGGTCATTTTAAGACACCAGGGCCTTGATTTCCCACTTTAAGGTAAGTAGGAACAGTTACCCCCTCATCAGTGTTTATCACTTTTTTTCCTGGTTAAGAAACTGCACCAGAAGTGAAGAACGGTATGAAGGATGACAGAGAATACTGTTTTGCTCCCAATTACCCCCATTTTAAAACAGACAAAGAGAACTTTAATCAAAAGGGATTCAGAGACAATGGCGCTGACCCTGGAGCTCGGCAGCCTCGGCACCACCTCAAGAAAGCACAGTGAGAGCAGTGACTGGTCACTAGTGATCCAAGAGCCCTGAGAAGTGCCACTTCTGTCACTGTCAGCATGCTTCTAGCTGTGTTTCCTCAGCATTACAACATCCCAACCATCAGTAAACACATCACATCCTGAGCAACCGTGGGATCCCAGGTTTAAGCGGCAGCTCAGCCCTGTGGGTCATGGACGAGCTGGAGGCAGGTGGTGAGGCTCAAGACAAGATCACCCAGTGTGTGCTGGCTTACTAGTAGATCATCTAGTAAGATTCAGCCAAATCCAGCGGAGCAGATTCATGAGCACTTCAACCCACTCTTCGCTACAGCTCATCCAGGATCACTCTACTAACCACTCACTTACGTACCAGTCTTGACTTGTGAGAGTACAAAGGGACTGGATGTCTTGATCTTAAAACACTTCTCGACCTGTCTGGTCATAAGACCAACAGTCCAAGTGTTCCTACCACAGGTGAAGCTTGGCTCGATATTCACCAAGATAACGCCATATATGAGCATTTGTCTACAACAGACTTTCTCAAGCTGCCCTTCTACCCAGGGTAGAAGAAGAAATCAAGAGATTTTTGGATACAGAGATTACATACTGGAGAAGCATGGGCCTGAGTTTTCCCCTTATCTCAAGGCACTGAGACTAGAAGGACCCGAAACGTTGGCCCCTGTGAACTTTCCTAACATCTGAAAAGTAGCTAACACCAGGAAGAAGCGAAAAGAAGATCCTCTATTTCCTGACTGCCGGTTGACAAAGCAGCAGCTTTCTAAGCTGCCTGAATATGAGATAGAAGCAGTCTTGGTAAAGGTGCCCATAAAGAGAATATTGGACAATGAAGATGCTGAGGGATGAAAGAAGTCTTCCACGCAAGTGATGGAGGCCTAGTCGGGCCTCAGAAATGACAAACCAACAACATGCCAAGCTCATCCAACAAGTACTCACAATCGTGAAATCCTGACTCAACCTGAAAAAGCAGCGAATCTGTCCCCAATAAATTAAGAAGGTGGATAAAGGGATTCAGTGGTATTTGATGGAGCAGATCCTGAAGCCTGACTAAGCTGGATGAAGAGGAGCCAAATCCTCCAACAGAGGTAAGGACTGAATTCAAGTTCTGTTCTATAGACACCAAAGAGGTTCAGAACTTGAATCCTCTGAAATTTGGGGGTTGTATGTGGGCATCCCAGAAATTGGTTTTGGCCTCTGATTTTTTTTATGTCATCAATGTGGAAGGGTGGAAGAGGCCCACCGAAGTTCCTAGGTGGAGGGAACCTAGAATAGTGTTAAGAACTCTCTAACCTTGTCCATCCAACAAAGACTGTGAAGGTAAAAAAAAAAACACCAAAAACTAGTTGTTGGTGACTTTGACTGCCACATCCTACATTTCATTAAAGCTCAGATCTCCCGAAAAGGGGAAAGAAAACCTGTCTGAAAAGCAAGCATGGCACAAATAAAGTCATCTTCTTTCTAGACCGCAGCTTGTTCCTGCTGCCTCCTTTGGATACAGTTAATGCTCCAAATAAGCCTCCTGTGGGACATGTGAGCCCTAACCTAACGCTGCCTAACAGCTAATGTTAGACACAGAGGAGACGCAGCCTCTTCATTCCACCTCTGCGCCTGCACAATGTAGCTGTTTCTCCAAAAGAAAAAGGATGAGGGGAAAGGAAAAGCGAGAAATTTAACTCTGGTACCTAAGAACTTGTGAAAGCAGCAATTCAAGTTATAGACCAGGAATTCCCAGGGTGGGGAACAGGTCAGGGAACAGCAAACATGTCAAATAGAAACTTATTTACCAAAAATGGGGTAAGAGAAAGGCAGGTCAAAGTATTCTAAATCCCTGGAGGTTTTATACAGAAGGAAAACCCCTTCCATCCTCTCCGCTCTTGAGTCAATCAGTTAACATTTCCAATTGTACTGCAATGATACACCAAAATGGGCTATCAGAGAAGGACTAAGAAAAAAGGAGTCTGGAATTCAGGAGAGAAGGGGCTTTGCCTTGATGCTCACATTCTTGTGTTCTGGTCCCTACATAAAGAATAGCTGCTTGAATTACCCAGCTTCTCCTGTTTGATCCTAGTTTTGTTCCAATGGCCCAGAAAGCTCAGTAATCGGTACTACTATGCAACCTCAGCTCAAGACCCAACTCCCAGATCAAAGTTGGGGCTGGTCTTCTTGGTTCTGATTCCCCTTTAAAAAATACTTGTATAACAATCCTTTCCTACCCACTCCCCACAGCCCCAAATGAAATACCATGGGAGCAGCAGATGCTTCTATAGTTTTGTTTTGAAATGGCATTAGATAAAATAAGGGAATAAATAGAGAATGGGGAAGAGGCAGACTCTCCATCCCACATCACACCGTCAGAGGGAGTTCTAGAGCAGTGTCCTCTGCAGGCCGGTCCTCACTCTTCTGGGAGGGCTTCTCTGCCCCGCAGGCTTCTTCACTGTCCACACGGAAGGGGAGGCTTGAGTGGGACCATGAGGGGTGAAAATTATCATTCTCAGGTTCTTCAGGGTTACAATCTTCAGGCAATAGAGCTTCTAGAGTGGGTGCTTTTCCCACCTCTGATTTACAGAGGGCAGCTGGGTCTGTGGGGCTACAAGCCACCAGTGAGGTAACAGGGAGAGAGAAGACACTCAGATCCTTCTCCTTGGGGAAAGGGGGTGGGGGCTCTTCTGTACCAGGCTCTCCTTTCACTCCTAGGACTGGCCTCTGCTCCACCTGATAGTAGACCAGTGGCCCACCGTTCAAGTAGGATGGGCTGTTCACCGTTGAGGCAGTTGGGTGATCTGAGTTCTCAGCAAAACATAAGACAGAGGAACCTGGAGGCAGCTGAGCCTGGATGAGAATGGGAGCCGTAAGGCCTGGGCACAGCTCTTCAGGAACAGCCAGGGGTTCCTCCAGGATGCACACGCCCAGGCTCTCAATGCTGGAGTCCAGGCTGGCGCTTGAGCCGCTCGAGTCCTCCTCCGCCTTGAGCCGTTCCAGTTCCTCTGCACTTTGCAGGTGCATCACTGCTGTCTCGTTCTCAGCAATGAACTCCTGGAAGTCCTGTGTTTCGGAGCCCTGTGCCCCTGGCAGGCTGCCACTGGCTGTCGGTGATGGCTCCTCATCTGGGGCAGCTGGGCGGCTGACCTGACGTTTGCTCTCTAGCTCCAGCTTCATGATGGTGTGGAGGTAATGAGTTCGGACCCGGATAGGGTTAAATTCAATGCGCCCAGCCATGTTCCCACAGCCATCCCGGGAGCAGCCACATGGAAAAGACATGCGATCCACCTGAGGGAGTGGACAAAAGGTGGAGGCAAGATGAGACCAACACGTTTAACATTTAAGGAGAGAGAGGAAACATTATCAATAGGCACACAAAGGCAGTTGAGGTCTTCCTACAAGAGACAGCCAATTCAAGAGGACATGTAGTGTGGGCTAACAGCACTAGATGAGAGCTGTTAAACCACTTGCAGTTTGAGTCAACTCTGTCATTAATTAGTGGTGTAAACTCCAAGAAAGTAATGTATAATCTTTTGCACTTGGGTTTCCTTTTCTAAACCAAAGGTGGAAAAAAATTCTCAAAGCACCCTTCCAGTTAAAAAAGTCTAGGAATGCCATTTTCTGGATGCTTGTAATACGGTTCTCTGAAATGCCTTGGTGACCTTTCCAAAACTTACCTGCTTTACTGAGGCAGAATAAAAATTTGGGGCCCAAGCCTGGTCCTGGTGCCTCTTACAGACTCAGACCTAGGAAAGTGGCTGAAAGCTCTGACTAGTCCAAAGCAGTACATTCTAGGGAAACTAAAGAAAAGCGCCTTGGTTTTCATTCAGGTGCCAGAGAGAAAGCTCGATCAGCATAAGGCCCAGCGTGTTCAATTTCATTTCTTTACTGAGGGCTAATCAAGCCAAAGTAGTTCTGAAGCAGTTAACAATGTTAAGTAGCTTACAGACCAGGAATATCTAGAAAGGAAATAGTTTCTGCCTCCTTATTTTCCTTTGTGACCCCAAAAGGAATAAATCAAGAAACACATATGCCCCAAAATAAAAAAGCAAGAAGGCAAATAAATGTATAGAGATACAGAATGCCTTCCTTAAATATTAACTTGTAAAACTCCCTAAAGCAGTTCCATCAATTCTCAGGATTGTCCTCAGGTCTGTGTAGGACTGGTTCATTATGACACCTAAGTCTGAATGGGTATTTGTCCAGATTCATTATAGCATCTAAAAACAAGAAAAGGTTGGTTAAGATAAATTCAACTGCAAAGACAGCATCCTTCTCTAAGACACATTCAGGTAACTTTCATTATTTGGTATGGTATTGCTCTTCCAATTAAAATGGCTCCTCCAAATGGTCTCTTTTCAGAAGACCAATAAGAAGATGCTTTCTTTCTCTCAGGACACTGGACAGAGGCTTTGCTAGGCCAACTAGAAATCAATTTAAAAAAGCAAATGCTGTCAATCAGTTCTGACTTGCGTCAGAGTAGAACTACATGCCAAAGAGTTTTCTCGAATGTTTGTTGTTACGGAAAATGTACATGGCAAAAACATACGCCAAATCAAGTTTCTACAAGTATACACCAGAGACACTGATTGCATTCTTTGAGTTGTGCAACCATCCTCTCGCTCCTTTTTGAAGCCGTTCCTCCCTCATTCCTCACAGGGTTTTCAATGGTCAATTTGGGGGCATCATCTCCAGGCCTTTCTTCCTGAGTGCCTCTGGGTGGACATGGACCTTTCAGTCAGCATTCAGCTGCTGCCACCCAGAGACTCCAGTGATCATGAAAACTTTTTATTCTTACAGAACTATAGTAGTACTGTGATGCTTACAGAAATAAAGTAGTACTGTGATTAAGAGTTTGCAGACAGACTCTATAGGCCCATCTCACTTCTTTGCTTGCATTTATCTAAAAGAGTCAGGAGGGTTTAAGGAACTGTCTTTAAATTTACATACTACTCTCTGTTCCTTCACTTGCTGACAGCAGCTTTCTGTTACCTAGTGTCTGAAGCACTGAGAAGAGAAGCAATCTCCCCATGTGCTGAGAATGCTATACTGCTTGTTTTGTTTGTTGACAGAGGGGTGTGGACTGGGAAGTGTTCTCAGGTAAGGGGAATCTGGCCCTGGATGGGCCGTCTCCCATACTTGATCACATGCATGTGACATATCGAACCCTAGTGCAGATTCCTCATCTCGGGCCAACCTGGACTGACCTGGCACTTAATCCCAGCCTGGCTACAGGCGCATGCTTCTGGGTCACAGTACAGGCGACAGTCACAACCACACTCTTCCCGCGACAGGCGGATGGCTCGCAATTCCTGTTTCTCTTCCGCATCGATGCGGTGGACTCCAGAAGCTCTGAGCAGAGCCCGTCGCCGTTTGGTGGGCAGAGGCTGTAGAAAGAAGTAGTCATCCACCTCCACATTCTCCACATCAATATCTTCATCAGAAACATCATCCAGGGTCAGGCCATCAGCCTCCACCGACTCCACCGTCCCATTCTTGGTCAGCTGTCGAGAGACAGGAAGTGTTAGCCCCTTAAACACCACCAGCACGAGCACACGCAGAGAGAATTGGGGCAGCCCTGACCAACACAACTTTCTGCGCTTATGGAAAGGTCTTTGCTTGTCTGGTTAAGTTGCCATTAGCTAAGTGTGAGTCACTGAGCACTTAATATCTGGCTAGTGCAAACTTAATAAATAGCCACATGTACATGTAACATTGTATAATGCAGGTCAAGACTGATGCATTTTATATGTATTATATAACGCCAAATCCTGAAATGGGAAGTGTGATGCAACTCTAATACCACCTGGTCAACACAAGGGACTTCAAACTTTGGTCTATGTTACCTAAACTCCTGCCTCATCTTCCCATCTAGATGACCTTTCCCCACAAACATATCCCCCAGCCCCACTAATTTCCCTTAACTTTGCTTCCTTGCCCTCAAACAGGAAAAGGTGTAACAGCCGTTAGGTATTTCCTGGATACACGTTAAAGGGTTCTTTACAAGACACCCTTAAAAAAACACCCTTTACCTTGTATCTTCTTGAACCTCAAATTAACTTCTCAGTAAAAGGGCACATTAAAGGACAGAACAAGGCCATGAAGTCTACAATGATTCTGAATCCCCACAATGTGAACAATTATCTGTGTATAAAACACAGAGTAGCCTCATTTTACTGAAAGGAAGAAAATGTGCCAATTATTATCATTAATCAAAGCCCTTTTTGCTAACATAGGGCCTAAAAGAAATGTATTCTTTCCCCTTTCTAATCCTTCCCTTCCCCGCCACACACACTTGATTTCAAAGAATACGCAAGCCGAGGTAAAGTAGTATATATAATACTAAGTATTCCATTGAGCTGTGGTGTTGGAGAATAGCACTAAACATCCCATGGATGACCAAGAGAACAACACATATGTCTTGGAGAGGGTGCAGCCAAGTGCTTTTTGGAGGCAAGAATGATGAGGCTTCACCTCACAAACTTTGGGCATGTTGCTAGGAAGTGCTATTCCTTGGAGAGGGCCATGATGCTGCGAAGAGTGGAGGGTCAGCGAAGGAGAGGAAAACTTTCAACCAGGTAGACTGACACGATGACTGCTGCAATGGGCTCTTCTTCTTTTGTTCATTGGGTTGCTGTGAGTTGTACTTGACAACACTTAACAACAACAACAACAACAACAACATACAATTAAGAGGCAGAAGCCTGATTCTAAAATGGATAGCCAAGAAAGGGAATCTTAGTAGAAGGACAGGTTGACGAGAATCTGTGGCTGAATGAGAGCTGAAAAACTCACTGGAGAATTTAAGTAAAGAAAATGAGGCCTCTTAATCCCCGGGGCTACGGAAGCTGCTAGCAGTGTGAAAGTCAAATAACTGGAGGCTTTGGTTTATTTCATCAGACAACCGCAAAGCAGTGCTGGTAAAGAACAACTCCTGGGGGAGGTGTGATGCAATAACCCGGAGAATAAGCTACATACCAGCTTTTAGTGCTGTAATTTTGTGTGGGGAACGGGGGTGGGGTAAAAAGGAAGAGCAGAAGCAGGGGAGGTGATGGAAAAGTGAAGAGATAAGTAAAATGGTATTTCTGGGGTTCCCTAGCCTGTATTAGGCAAGCTCCCCACCAAAGGTCTTTCTGTAGAACTCGAGGTTGCTCCTCTCTGTATCTTACCATGTTGGTGTTTTCCCAATTATCAGCCCTCCTACTATTCTCTCAGAGGAAGAAATTAGAGATGCAACATAAAGAAACTCCTACAGATATGAGAATTTAATATATCTTGATAGGGGCAGCCTTTCAAGTCAGTGACTAGAGTCTTCCAGGTAGTAAATGATATTGAGACAAATGGGTATTCTTTATAAAAGAAAAGACAATTCAATTCCTAATTCACACTGTTCACAATAGTGAATTCTACGTGATTAAAAGACTAAAATATAATTACATACAGTAGAATGAGTATAAGGGCCCAAGAGGGATGGGAAAGGTTGAAAGCAGAAGGATGTGGATGTGCAGGGGGAGGGAGGGGTTTAATCATCAGGTTGTACAATTTGATGGGGGGGGATGAGGGAAATGGAATTTGTTCAAATTTGTATTTGAATTTTATAAATAAACTAGTAGAAAATAAAAAAAATTAAAAAAGATTAAAAAATACATATAAAAGTTCAACAAATTAGGGGGTAACTAAAGCTGCAGTTAAAGTGCTCCTTAGAGGAAACGATGGCAATCTTCGTCTCACATACTTTGGGCATGTTGCTAGGAGAGACTAATCCCTGGAAGAGACACCATGCTTGGAAAGGTGGAGAGTCAGCGAAAGAAAGGAAGACCCTCAACCAGATGGATTAACTGCAACAATAGCTCAAGTGTGTCAGAGATGGTAAGAGTGGCACAGGATAGGCCAGAATTCAGATCTGCTGTTCACAGGGTCACTAGGAGTTGTACTCAACTATACCTAACAACAAAGCTGCAGGAATGAATTGCTTCCTATGCACTTGAAAGTTGGACAATGACTAGGATGACAGAAGAACTGATGCCTTTGAAATGAATGTTGGAGAAGGGTACTGAATATCCTATGGACTGGCAAAATATAAACAAGTCTGTCTCGGTGGCAGGGTATCACATCTTTGGGCATATTGTCAGGAGGGGGCAGCCTGTGGAAAAAGACATCATGCTTGGCAAGATGGAGGATCAGTAGAGAGGAAGACCATCAACAAGATGTCCCAACACAATGACTGTAACCGTGGGCTGGAGTAGGCTGGAGACTATGGGAATGGCAGCACAGGAGAGGGTCAATGAGTTGTTAACTAAATGGCACCCCACAACTACAACAAAGCTGCAGAGTCCTAGATAGTTTATTGGTGATGGCAGCCCAAGAGGAAAACGAGCATTAAATGCTGTATGAGATATGATAAAAATATTTTTGAGCCAGGTTTCCCTAGAGGACTCTCTGGGTGGTGGAAATGATTAACTACTACCACAAGGTTGGTGGTTCAAACCCACCCATAGATACTTGATGATCTGCTTTCAAAAGGTCTCACTCTCAAAAACCCTAAGAAGCAGCTGTAATCTGCACACGTGGGCTTGCCAGAAGTCAGAATCTGCAACTCACAAGAGTAGTAACAAGCCTCTCCTGTGGGTACAAAAGATGGGAAAAATTTCCAAGAAAAGAGTACACTGGTCCTCAAAAGAGCACAATATAGGAATTTGGTATTCAAGCCATTGTTGTTGTGTTGTGTACCAGAGTCGGAAATGATGCATTCAGCTGACTAGCCAGTGGGTTTCCAGAGGCAGTTAATCTCACAGGAGACTGCGCATCCTTCTCCCATGGATCACCAGGTGGCCTCAAACCATGTGCAACTTCTTGATACTAGGTCACCAAAGCTCATTCAAACCAATATAAAATTTAAAAAAAAAACCACAGTAAAAGTTTTCTCTTGACATATAAAAATGTGTAAGATATCACCACCATTACTGCTCATGCGATCTAAGTAGGAATCTTGTTGCTTGAATTTTGGGCTTGTCTGTCTTTGTCCCTAGAGCTCCTATAAGGAGGGCCACAAAACAGGGCAGTCTCCCATTTTGACAGGTCATCACCCTATAAGATTTAGGAGATGGGAGGTTTCATCTAGGGAGAGGGAAGAAGGCCTCCACTGCCCAGCCTGTTTGCCCAGCTGTTGCTGGAGCAGCAGGAAGGTGACGAGGTCAGAAATGGAATTCCTCAGGCGGAAGGAAGAGCACTGAATGTTGGTCTAGTTAGAAAAACAGGTGAGAGGCTTTAGGAGTCAGCTAGGGAAGCAGACACGAAGCTCTCAAAGGGAAAAAGCAACAAGATCTGGTCAGCTCATACCCTCTGCCTCTACTTCTCCAACTCTACAACATTTGGGAGTGCCTTGTCTGGGTTTTACTTTGAGTAAAACAGTGGATATGATGGATGGAGTCACCTATGTTCATATGCTTCAAACCCAAAAGAAATTTCGCCAGGCCTAAAGCAATGTCTTTCAAATTTGGAACCAAAACCTTCAGGGGATATTTTTCAGCGCAGTGGAAACTATGACTGGCCACAGTGGGAACTACGGTAACACAACAAATGGGTGGCTATAAAGACCTGTCTGAGAGGGATCTTTATGGTCTCCTTTATCTCCTCAATCGATAAGCAGGTGCTTTATCAAATTAAGACAGATTATTATGTTTCTAAATAACAATCTGGTAAAGCTACTGTTGTAGCTAGTAAACTAGGACCCAGGAGAGACATGGTATAGAAATAAGAGCTCTTTCAAAGAAAAGTAAAAAGATCCGAAACCTGTTTCATATCAGGGCAATGGACAATCCTTCGACAAACTGAAATACAAGGCTTCCTCAGGGTCCAAGGTAGCAGACTTGAATGGCACATTTCACTTTTTTAAAAAATTGGAGGATGGGCTAAGTAGAGGAATTCATTTTTCAAACTCTGGTTATCTACCCACCAGAGAGGAAAGAAAATACCACAAGAGCCTCAGATTGAGACATGATTCTTAATCTGAAACTTCTCATTGGAAAGATTCGGTCTGGGTCGGAATCTCCACATGTCCATTCAAAAATCAGCAGACCTAAAGTGAAGACTGAAATGGTAAGTGTTTTGTTACCTATGTATTCATCACAATAAAAGGGGAAAAACTCATAATGGACCTTGCTTCCTACTTTATCACATGGAAAGCACCCAACCCAAGCCTAGACCCCTTAAGCACCTTCATCTTCTTGGCATGGAGCTTCTCCTCCTTCAGGTGCTCACGAAGAATCTCGCGATGGTTCACCTCTTGCTCTTGGGCAAACTCACAGAGTGTGTAGCTGCGTACAGAGTTGTGGCGCTGGGCCATGCCCAGAGAGCTACCACCCTGGCTGGGCACACTGGTGAAACCCTGGCGTCGGGCAAAGTAGTATACAGTCACCTGGTCAAAGCGCACATTCTTCCTCCGCAGCTGCTTCTGCCGCTTCAGGATGGATGTGGCTGAGAAGGGAGCAGAGAATAGAGTTACTAACCCAAGATGGCCTCTTAGAGACCTCACTCTTTCTCAATCATGTAGGTTTTCAACTCTTCTCCAGATGAGTTCCCTATTCCTACAGACATCCCTAATTTTAAAATCACAAATGCAGTTAGAAGGGACCTTGAACATTGCTGGTCCAAACCACCATCTCTTCAACTGACTTCACCTAAGCAAATGACCACAAAATCTATTTTTAGGTATCAGCTGGGAAGTGGAGCTCTAAATAATCTTTTCAGGACATAACAATCTACAGCTACATTGTCCATACAGCAGCTGCTACCACATGTGATGATTTAAATTTTTAGTAATGAAAATGAAATAAAATGTAATATTTATTTCTTCATTTACACTAACAACACTGCAAGTGTCCAACAGTCATACCTGAATAGTGTCTACTGAACTTGAAATAAAGAATATTTTTATCATAACAGAAAACTCTATAGGACGATCTATAGTAGGGGTCAGCAAACATTTCTGTGTAAATATTTTAGGCTTTGCAGACCATAAAGCCTCTGTTGCACCTACTCAATCTTATCACTGTAAGCAATAACAGATAATATGTAAAAACACAAATGGTGCCATGTTCTTTCCAAGAAATAAAAGAGCTATAAGAATTAAGAAGCCTGGCAGTAAACATGTATGTCCTATTAAGAGAGATACAATTTCCTGGCACTCTATGGGACTTTGGTGGGAAAGAAAAGAGCCTCAAGCACCTCCTTCTTCAACATAGTTAATCTCATTCTTCACAAGTAAAATTAGTTAGAATAAGTGAGACTAGAGTCTATTAGAGTAACAAAGTCTTCCAAAGAACAAGGGTGCTAAGAGTAGGAAAGATTAAGATTAAAACCAAATTCCTTAGCTAGGCAGAAGAAGCTGTCTCAGAAGTTGCTTTGCCACTTGGGTACAGGCAAGGAAGGGAGCCGCTCACTCACGTGTGAAGCTGGCAGTTGTTGGAGGATTGAGGCTATCGCAGCTGTCAGCACTGTCACTGCTGGAAATCTCATCATCTGAGTTGGACACGGATGAGCCCACATCCACATCATCAAACTTCCTCTTGAGTCCCGAGCCCGTGAATGCATCCATTGGCTTCAAAGGGGTTTACTTGAGGAGCCCACCACGTTGGCCCCTAAACCCCTGATCACCACCAGCGAGCCAGGCACATTAGGATTCTGCCCAGGGAGAAGAGGAATCAGCACGGCTGTCCTAAATAGGTCCCTCTCAAGTCTACATATAGAACCCTCTAACTAGCAATGATGCTGATCTCCTGAAACAGGTCAGTTCTTTATTGATGTTACCCAATAGTCTCCTCTCTCTTGCTTCTTCTCAGCCCCTCCAGTCTCAATCACCCTTACAATATGCAGATGAATAGCAGCACCCCTTTCCCAATGGAGTTACAGCCTTGGTTCTAAGCCAGTCAGGCTCTAGGCTTCATTAGTACAGGGATAGTGTAGCTGCTCTTCTAAACACACATCTCTCCAAGGGGCCAGCATGAGGGACCTGGGATCAAAGGAAGAATTGGGCTTTGCCCAAACCTAGACTAGACCCAATTATTTTTTCCTAGTGATAATGTAGCCTAGCATTTCCCAAAAGTGTATACCTTAAATACACTAGTTCTAAAGATATAAATAGCTTTTACATGGAAATAGAACAGCTGTGTCAAAATAGTTTAGAAAACTGTTTAGGCAGAGACTTTCAGAGTCTTTAAATATGCTAATGAACATGGCGAAGGGTGGGAGAAAACACAGAAGGCAGTGCTTAACAAACCAGATTATGGAATCCTTTCTTTCCAGAGCATTTTAGGGGGCAAGTGATCTTTGGAAAACATCTTAGGAAATACTGCTTTGGACTCAGTTTCTAAGGACACTGGCAGGCAAGAAAACCTTCTACCCAGATCTTCTCAAGTAGAAAGTATCAGGCTCCTAAAAAAAGGTCAAATTTGGTCCTGAAGGTTAGAATCTGCACTGGTTTCAAAATAAAATCTTTCCAAATCTCACACCACTCCATAAAACAGGGCTCATCTGATCAAACATCAGCCTCTGTGCAATGACAACTTAGCGCTACAATCTGTCCTCTGTAAAGAAGACAACAACAGAAGAGAAACTGCAAAGCATCATTTACACTGATTCTATCAATATGGAGGGCAGGTTTTTCACCAGTTAAGATGCCTTAATACAGTCCACTTTCCAGGTACAAATCTTTTTCCTTCTCTATTTTTGGGCTTAAGTTCTAGAAGGACACGAATCTGCTCAGCCAAGTGCTGTCAGAGCTTAGGCCTCGTGTGATGAGGTACGAAGCCTCCCATGCTTTGCTTCAGTAATGCCACAATCTCCCCAGACTATGATCTCACTAGTTGCTAATTATGCAGCAGGAATAACAACACTGCTCAGAAATGCAGGGCTGCATTACTGCAGAGCAGCTAACCAGAATATACTGTTTTGTCAGGAGATGCCTGCTACACAGCTGTTTTCTTGAACTGTGTCTGGGATGTGATCTGCTTGCTCTCAGATTAGGACAACAAGTAGTCAAACAGACCTTATTATAAATACTTAAAGAAGTGTTTGCTATCTTAATCTATCCAGACTCATTAATAGTCTGCATTCAAGTAAAAATGTACCTAAGAAATGTCAACCTTCACTGATCTCAGACAAGTACATTTCCGAAATAAATTTGTCCAGAGAGGAAAAGAATCTAGTACCTGATACAAATCATAATTAAAAGAATAAACAAAACAAGCCCAAATTATCAGTTCTGTTCACATTACCAATCCTGCATTCAGAGGTCACATTTCTAGGACATGTTAAGAAAAGTGAAAGCCAAGGACATTTTTATAGGTTAAGATTTTAGCTGGGCTTAAAGACACTATTTCATTTTGAAATTCCTCATTTCATGTTATTATTTTTAGGGGCACAAAATTGAGTGGGTTACAAAAGCAAAAGCAGAAAAAATAATTTTGACTATAAAGTTTAATTTTATCGTCTTTCTTAAGATACTTTATTACTTGATAAATCATGAATATCAAACTGAGCTAAAATATTTGCTCTTTAACTTTAAAGAAACTAGAACTACCACCCAAGCAGATATATGCATACCCATGTTTACCGCAGCTTTGCTCACAATAGCAAAGAGTTGGAAACAACCCAGGTGCCCATTAACAAACCAATGGATAGAGAAGCTGTGGTATACTCAAACAATGGAATACCATGCTGCATTCAAAAACAAAGAACTCATGAAATATTATATAAAAAGGGTGATCCTGGAGGACATTATGCTGAATGAAATATCTCAGTCACAAAAGGACAAATATTGCACAATGCCACTGTTGTAAAACAGGATTGACATCAGGGCTGAGAGGACCATAAGGGGATAATGTATACTGCATTGAAACAGATGAGGGAGAGAACTGTTTAAAAGGAATATAGGATTAGGTATTATTTTCATGAAAAGATTACAGAAAAAGAAATGCATATTAAAGTAGACTGTGGACTGGGGGAATTGCATAACAATGAAAGATTCTTTTCTTTTTCTTCAAAGAGAAAATAAACTGGAGGGAAAGGTGGGCAGGGAGGAAAATGTGCAACAATGAATGGATGGGGAAATTAAATGGAAAGAATATATGCTGTAAAAAAATTATATATGTTGCATTAAAAAATCATTCATAAAAACCCCCATTTAATGAAGAAAAAAAATCTGTTCCTTAAAATCAGCTTGTACAAATCACAGCTTTAATTTTAACTGAGCTTCTGTTGCTGCTGCTTCTTCCTCAGCCAGGAAGCACTCAGGGATTTAGAAGTGGAAGCAAAACTGCGTTCTTGTTCTTTGCGCAGATGTCCTTTTGCGTCTAGTAGCATGAATTCCATTCGAGAATTTCACTTTCAGTCCCACAAGAGTTTGGATTGGATCCAAAAGCATTTTTATTGGTGAATTCTCTACTGTGTTAACCCAGCTGCCCTCAGAGGTTAGACTTTTCCTTCAGGTTACTTCTTTTGTACTCCACTGACTGCTTGCTGGCTGTTTCCATTCCTCTCCTTTTTTCCTATGTTTTCCTCACTTCCACATTTGAAACAGGGGTTTCTGAGCAATGATGGGGACAGGTCAAAAGACGTGGAATCTAGGAGAAAAATATTTCCCTTCAGTGCCAGAGAATAAGCTCAATCTATGGGTGTATATGTAAATAATGTGCATATAGACTTATGATCAACTATTCCATTAATGTAGATGGTACTTGGGAAAACTCTGGGCTGTGTCTCTTGAAAGCAATTTGCCTGCTCTTGAATCAGCTCAGTAAGACACTATAATTTGTTATATTGTGTGCTTTGTGGTTGGCACTGACTCATGGCAGACCCTCCAATGAGTCTGGAGAGGCAGTAAATCGCATGCGAAGAGAATGCCCATCTTTCTCTGGTGGATTAGCTGGGGGATTCAAACTGTGCCATTCTGGGTTAGCAGAGCAACTCCTTGCCACTCAGCCACCAGAGCTCCCTACAACTTTGTTGTTGCTGTTGTTACAACTTTAGAGAAGTTATTTCCCACTCTAAGTTTCCTATCACTTTCATCAAAATTCTGCATCCACTATTCTAGATCTTTCTGCCCTAAATTCTTTGCATCATTCTTTCTGACATTAACTCAATTACAATAATAAAAAATGCAAAACAAACAAACCAAGAACCCCCCCACCATCAATTCTAGTCTTACAACTGATTTAACTTTATGTTTAAACCCAATTCACCTCATCCAACTCTCTCTTGTGACTTGCTAAAATGAATGAAAAAAGACAGATTAATGATGGATAAATAAAATAAAATATTCCAATACCAAGAACAGCAAACCCCTACACACTTCTGCGGTTGCTGGATGAGACTTCTTTGCAACAGTAACTACCAAAATAAATTTTACACTTTCTACTTCATCAGTTAACCTCCTTTCAAGCTACAGCTAAAAATCAGTCACTTTCCCTCTCTCATCTATTCATCTGTATAGGATCAATGCTTATACAGAAAAGTGTTCAAGAGATACACTTAACCCTAAGTTACACTTCACTCACTTAAATCCAGAGAGAAATAATCAAGGTGAGCCTAGAGACACAGGTCATAAGTGACAGTTAATTATCAATCAACAACTCAAATAACAAACACTTTTGGAGAGAATGATGCAAACCTCTATAAAAGCTTTTAAATGCCAGTGAAAGAAATGTCAGCTGACACTTTCTGGCTGCATGCCCTATGGTTTTTTTGAGTGGTTCTAGCTGAACATTTCCCAAAGGTATATAAAATAGTTCAGATCTACCAGTATACACAAGACAGTAGCCTGGTAAAAACTAAATAGATCTACAAGCATATTAGTATTTTCGTATCTGGGTTCAAAATAATAAAGCAAAGCACATCTCATAGGACAAAGCCTTCCACTGTACTGGAACCCAACCTTTTGCTAAAGGTCAAGGGACCAAAATCTCTAGTCAGATCGGTAGGGACACCCCCATCCAATGGTGATGCCAGAGAAAGGCTGGCTACTGTTAAGATAAAGTCAATAAAATGCTTCTTCCTGTTTCTCTTTTTAGGAGATAACTATGAGTAAAATTCTCAAAGACTAGATTTGTCATGTATCCTCATAATCATGGCAATCATAAACTTAGTAATCACTCGGCTGATTAATAACTGTCTAAAGTGAGAAGGCAAAGCAAGCACTGGCATCTCTCATCCCTATTTTGATCCATTCAGTGACCCAAGTTTGGTATTTGGTTTTGCTGCCCAAGCCACCATTAAATGGGGGTGGGGGAGGGCATAGGATATTTGTGGGAAAACTGGGACGTGATGATGCGGGAACCATTACTAAATCCAGTCATCTGTAACTCTGGCACACACTTAATAGCCTGCCTTTGGAGATTTGCAAGATGTAAAGTCAGTAAAGGAAAATCTGAATCGCCTATGAATTTACTTTGCTCAAAACACTGCAGGACCAGGGGACAGTGTGCTTCCTGAGGAGACTAACATATTGAAAAATGGTTTATGTGTTAAACTGCCACTCTGAATCCATTTTAAAAGATGAATCAAGGCCATGACACTAAAAGGGATGGATGGCAGTTAGCTGCGTGTTAGGGCCTGTGTGTGTGTGTGTGTGTGGGGGGGGGATGATGAAGCTAAGAACCAGGGCAAGTGATGCTTTCATTTTCCTACATAAAGCCAGGAAAAAGCGCGACAGCGGGAGCCAAAGGGACATATCATGTCACCAGTTTCTCTCAACGGACACCCGTGCTGAACCTTTTAGATCTGGGCCTGTTTGTCTCTTTGATTCCCGCTAACCTTCCCGCTCATTCCAATCTCGTCTGCAGCCCCGACCCAGCCTTCCCCGTTCCTTCCTGCCTGCTACTCACAAATTCCCAACCACTCCTCCCACATTTTCCTCAGCTCCCCCTCCTCTTTCCTTCACTTCCCTCCATCCTACATTATCTCCACTCCATTCCAAACTCAACCTTCTCCCGCAATCCGGCTAGCTTCCGAG